GGTTCAATCGCAATGACTCACTTATTAACAGTGACTTGCTGACACCTACTGGCCGTTTTAATTTCACATTTAAAGTATTCTTTTTTCTTATAATTTCAAATGAGTATTCAACATTTTATGTCTTGTATATCAAAACATTATTTCCGCATTTATAAATGCAGGTTAAATGCATTCATGTCCTGCACTAAACAGTGTGTAAATACATCTAAATGCCACTTCAGTTCAGATAAAGCTTCTGCGTTTCCTCTGCATTGCAAAGACGAATTTTGTTGATACTGATTTAATTTGCCTGGTAACAGCCCAAATATCTTATTATTCTAAATAACTGATTCCTTTAATTAAAAACAACTAGTTTGAGATTTATAGGCCTATCCCATTTTTGCCTCCCTCCCACTGTTAAAATGTAACTAAGTAATTTTTACTCTGAGTAAATTTTAAATGAGCTACTTTTTACTTTTACTTGAGTAGATTTCTAGACTGGTACTTTTACTTGTACTTAAGTAAAATTTAATGTAATGGTACTTTTACTTGAGTAGAATATTTTCCTACTCTTTCCACCTCTGCTTATAAGTGTGAATTTAGGGAATCAATACAAATTTTTTTTTTTTACTTTCTACTTCTTTCTATTTTTTAAACATAAAATATAATTTATTATTACTGTCTTCTGACTTTGGGGTGAAATATGGCCCAAAATTGGTCTTGACGCATAATATTCACCCATTTATGCAACCCTTATATATGTTGGAATAAATTATGTAGGCTATTCTTAAAATTAATTTTTACATGTCAGCAATACATGAGGTCATATGAAAGGGTTAAAGGGTTGACATCATTTGCTAAATGCATTTTGAAATCACACAATCATTAACATGCAAAGTTGCCTAGCAAACACTTGCTGTTTCATCTGTCAGACACAACTCGTGTGCTGATTGTGTGTGTGTTGTGTGTTTGTTGAGTTAATGATGGTATGACTGCATTTCCTCACACACTTGGACTCCAGTCACATCAACCACAGGACAGTGATGTGATCTCATAGATCTTGCTTTATTTGTTTGCCCTTATATAGCAATGATCTATTCTGAGACCAGGTAACTTGCACTTGTACGTGAGAAATACTGAGGAGCTAGTGCAAATGTCTTCTATTGACGCTTGCGGTGTCAAAACACACGAGGATCCACCCTCTCCCTGAAAGAGTTTCTTTGTGTTGTGTCTCTCATGCTCACTTTCTGTCTGTGTGTCTCAGGGCTGGACGACAGTCTCCAGCAGTATGTTCCTAACTTCGAGAGAGAGAAGATCAGTGGAGAGCAGCTTCTGAAGATTTCCCATCAGGATCTGGAGGAGCTGACGATGACCCGCGTCGGCCATCAGGAGCTGATTCTGGAGGCTGTGGATCTGCTCTGCGCATTGGTCAGTACTTCAGCTCACTCAGATGCACTTTTCCCGCCACGCATCCAATCAGATTTCTTAAAGAAAACTTGTCCAATCAGATTTACCTCCATCAGGAAGTACAGTGGGTACGGAAAGTATTCAGACCCCCTTAAATTTTTCACTCTTTGTTATATTGCAGCCATTTGCTAAAATCATTTAAGTTAATTTTTTTTCCTCATTAATGTACACACAGCACCCCATATTGACAGAAAAACACAGAATTGTTGACATTTTTGCAAATTTATTAAAAAAGAAAAACTGAAAAATGCTCAAAGGGGGTCTGAATACTTTCCGTACCCACTGTATATGTAGGTGCTGACCTTTGCTCTCCTTTCTTAAAGCATTTAGCATTAGCAATATTTAGGATGTGTACTGTGCACAGTATGTAGATTTTCTGTATTCATAAAAAAAAAATCAGATGACCTACTGAAGATTTGGCCTAAAATTGCCAAATTATGCAGTATATTTGCAACACTGTGTAGAATACTACAGTAGAGTATATCCTACAATGCAATGCACTCAATCTTGAATTTGCATTTCCAGCGTGGCAACTCTTTCTTTACTCATTATTTGATTGCACTGCCAAATGTTATGGCATTTTACACAAAATTAAATAAAAAATGGCAATATAATCGAAATAATTCAAGATGACTGTACACCACTCACATGAAATATGATGAGATCATGTGACTACAATGGAGCATTCTACAAATGCAAATGATTGTTGTAGAAAAATGCATCTTTTTTATTTATTATTTTAAGGGCTCGACAATAAGGAGTGCGCGGTGGCCAGCGTGAAAGATGTTCGGGACAGTGGACGGATTTGTCACTTGCATATATATATATACTGTATATGCTATCCATAAGTAAAACTGCATACTATTCACAGTAGCCTATATATGTGATGCACAACAGTGTTCTCTGCTACAGAATGTTTGAATCTGATACAGAATCTGATCACCTAGTAAAGGATTTGGTAAGAGTCATTTGTTTGTGAAGTGGACTAAAGTGGTTGTGCTGTGATTGTAGCCAGCAATGCAGGAAACATTGCTACAGAAATAGTAAGAGTATATGGCAGTGTGCTGTAGTGGTCATAGCCAAGCACTTTATTAAGTCATACTGTATGCCTCTAAAATGTCATTTTGGTGTCAATCAGGCCACATAAAGCTGTTATCATGCTAAGAACTGTTTGGACACAAGTGTCTTAACATTCTGTCATAAATGCCCTTATCTAACACTGGAAGAGCGTGAGCTCGGTTATAGGTGGAGACTGCCGTGAACAGGAAAGCAGAGATTTCCCAGGCATTCCGATCAGCTGTTTTCGCTCACTTCCTTCCCAAGGTTTCTTCTCAACTTCCCCCGCTCTTTTTTTCCCATTCAGACAGTATTAATGACCACAAAGTGCACCTAAAACACATGGGGGAATAGAGGAACGCTCTGCCTGTATAAACCCGTGTGTGTTTTTGTGTGCAGTTAGCAAACCCAAAGTTGTAGACAGTGCTGATTTTTATCGCAGAAGCTGTGCTAGCTGCCACTCTGTCCCAGCATTGTGGTGGATGTGAATAGGGAGGGTCAGTTGGAACAAACAGTGTCCACTGTGTCCATTCAGAGTCTATTCTGTGTTAGGACGGGAGATTGACAGAGGGCCTTATAATAGGAGACTGCACCCTAAAGAGACACTTTCTGTTTTGTTGCCATTTCTCTGTGTAATTTGTTTGTACGTGAAATGGTACTTTTCGAAAGGAAGCTTATACGATGTGTAACAACGTCAAATGTGTCTTAAAGGGATAGTTCACTCATAAATGAAAGTTATCTCTTTACTTACTCAACCTCATGAAGTTCCAAACCTGGAGTACAAACAGACATTAGGCAAAATGAGCCATATGGACACATATACATAGACAAATTACAGATAAATCTAAAAATCTCAAATATTGATAAGTATATGACATGTGTCCATAAGATTCATTTTGCCTTTTGATTCGTTCCCCTTTTTTTGGAGGGGGGATTAAATTAATATATTATTAATATAATAATAATAATATTTAATTTAATACATTAAATCTAACTTGAAAAAATAAATAACGGTTAAAATCTTTACTAATAACTAATCTTCAGCAAATCTCACAATATCCATTATTGTACATATTACACTGTACAGTATAGGGATATGCCGGTATCAAATTTTCATGTTGCGATTAATTGCTAATGCTTTTATTACGGTACTTAATGTGATGCATATTTGTAAGTAATACATCAATGAAACGGGTAAGATTTACACACTCAATTCAGTTAGTTAAAAATATAGATTATTGAGATATAGAGATAGAAAGAAATTGGATTTAATAATGTTAAATATATAAACCTTGTTATTTTGTTTTTAAAATACATTCAGCTAATTAGTACTATTGCAGAAATTGCCAGTTTTTTTACCCGTTTCATTTATGTGTGACTGACAAATATGCTTCACATTTTATATTAATTAGTTTATGTAAAATCTGTGAAGTATGGATGAATATTTTATATGCAATTTAAATACTTTTTTGTTTGTGTTTTCATTTGTTTAGACTAAATTGTATAAAATTAGTATTAGTAATATTACTAATATCATTGTATGTTGTTTGACAGCACGTGGTCATCATCATATGCAAGAAGTAAGAAATTCATACAGGTTTGGAACATGTAAGCGTGCAAATGACAACAATGAGTGAACTAACCCTTTATATCCGTCCATAATTGTACAAAAATTGTACAAAAGGTGTGTTTCTTTGAAAGAACACGCCTGCAGCAAACAGTAAACGGAAGCTATGAGGTTTGATGTCGGAGCTCTACCTGTCAGACCGGGTGGCTGCTCACAAGGATGTTGTTGAGAAAAGATTTACCTCAGTCGTTTTCCGTTTGTTTTTAAGCGTCACCTATTCTAGGCAGCACTGAGCGGAGAACCACAGAGGAGCTGTAGCATGAAGGCTGGAATAGACAATGCGGTGTTGAATTTGTGAGAGGTCCGCTCTAGCACTCGTGGGTAGAATGTTCTGGAAGATATCTCCTGAAGAGCAGGAAACAGATGTGACCCACCCACCTGTCAGAGAGCCCCCCGCCCAACGCTCGCACACACACAAACTCATACAGACAAACACACCGTAACCAGCGCAGGAAAACATGTCACGCCATTGTTCCAGTAGTTTCCGCCCAGCCTCATCTTAACCCTGTGTATCTGTTCGGTCTCTGGTTATTTTTAAAATCGCTTCATGAGTGTTAGGGGACGTGCTAAACTCCCCAACTCTCTGTGGCTCAGCGGTAAAGTACCATAGTTTCGTACAATATAAGACAGACCTAAAAATGTCTCATCTGGAATCCATTACATGTCCATTGATAGAAGAGTCTGAGCAATTTCAAACTCTTGACAGAAGATAGAAGAGTCTAATGGACTATTGATAGAACAGACTGAACAGTTGGGACCTGGGATCTTGTTTTGACTCCTGCACAATTGCGAATTTTTATTTGTGACCCTGGAGCACAAAACCAGTCATAAGTAGCACAAGTATATTTGTAGCAATAGCCAACAATACATTGAATGGGTCAAAATTATCGATTTTTCTTCATTAGGATATTAAGTAAAGATCATGTTCCATGAAGATATTTTGTAAATTTCCAAACGTAAATATATCAAAACTTAATTTTTGATTAGTAATATGTATGGCTAAGGACTTCATTTGGACAACTTTAAAGACGATTTTCTCAATATTTAGATTTTTTTTTGCACCCTCAGATTACAGATTTTCAAATTTTGTCCAAATATTGTGCTATCCTAACAAACCATACATCAATAGAAAGCTTATTTATTCAGCTTTCAGATGATGTACAGATCTTAATTTAAAAAAACTGACCCTTATGACTGGTTTTGTGTCACATTTTGCTATTGCGATTTAATATTTCTCCTGGTTTTACCTACAGGTGCATCTCAATAAATTAGAATGTCGTGGAAAAGTTAATTTATTTCAGTAATTCAACTCAAATTATGAAACTTGTGTATTAAATAAATTCAATGCACACAGACTGAAGTAGCTTAAGTCTTTGGTTCTTTTAATTGTGATGATTTTGGCTCACATTTAACAAAAACCCACCAACTCACTATCTCAACAAATTAGAATACTCCATAAGACCAATAAAAAAAAATTTTTTTAGTGAATTGTTGGCCTTCTGGAAAGTATGTTAATTTACTGTACATGTACTCAATACTTGGTAGTTTCCACGACATTCTAATTTATTGAGATGCACCTGTATATGTGACTTCGCGACTGCGACTTAATATCACAACTGAGACTATTGATATATTCAATACTGTTTTACATGTCAGAATTGTGATTTACTTTATTTCGTTCGACTTTGTTGCTAACAATTGCAAGTTTATCTTACATTGTAACACTGTAGAGCTCCCTGAAAAACTATGCGCAAGTGCACCGAGGGCAAAAGCTGCTTTAAACGCAAAGGATGCTCACACCAAATGTTGATTTAATTTAGTTAATAGAAGTTAATTGATAAAGAAAATCTATTTATGACATTATTTTTGACAGCATCCTCAGTTTACAGCATGTGTGCCTAAAACTTTGAACAGTACTGTAGCTTTGCAGGTAGGTCTCTTGAAGCATCTTGGAGA